AGAACCATGGGTAAGTGCAAATTCAGTTATTAAGAATGTATTCTTGAAAAATGTCTGAGTTCATTGGAACTTTGTATTATAAAGTCAGAAATTAATTGTTGACCAAATGTTTGATAAAACATTATTAATATATCTGAACCTTTGATTTAAAAAAAAAAAGATTTTGCAACATTAAAAATGCAAAGAATGTTGGATGGAAAGAAGCCCCTTTTCTTTGTGAGGTTTGGAAAATCTTCCCTCACAAAGATCGGTATGTTTCCTGACCTAATAAAATGCTAATACCCTTTTGGGGTTCTGTCTGCCTAATACAAACCTAATCAATATATACAAAATTTTGCTTAAACCTTTTCAAAAAATTATTTGAGCAGAGATAAAATTACAAGTCTAGCTGTGAATATTTGGGAAGTTGCCAATTTGAACATACAGAGATTATAATGGAATTGATTTCCAGTTTTAGCTACCCTAGCTGCTACTAATTAGTGGAAAATATTTAGGTGAGCTGTTATATATTTTTTGAAAGAAAAGCAGTCATTAGTTTTACGTGATTGGTTGTTGCTTCTTCTGATTAGAGGCAACTGTCAGCATGCTTATTACATATTCTCAATGTGCAGATATATGTGGTATCAAGAACTGTAATTTAAACATCTGTAATCAGGTAAATGCATGTCATATGAAGAAATGTCATAAATTTTAATGTTACTTTTATATTTTTAGGTTAGCAGGAAACAGAAGGTCTTCTTTACCCTAAAAAGACTTTACACTTTTTATGGTGTCTTGGCAATGTCATTCTCATTTAAAGTAAATAAGAATCAGAACTTTTATGTATACAATTATATCAGGAAAGTTTTATAAGTAAGTTAGCATATTCACAAATACAGAGCACATTATTAGAATGAGATACTTGATAAGTCTGTTATCTGTATCCTTGTTTAAGATTTGTGCATGATTCTAGATATGCGTATCAAACTATTTCAGCACCCTGGGCAGAACTGAGGGGGGTGGGGGGGAAGTTAGTGCTGACTGCAGAACAGAGGTAAGGGGTAAGGCAGAGTCTTACCCACCATATAGTAAGGGCTCACTCCCCTTCCCTTGCTGTTAGCCGGAAGCTACAGGTTTAACTGTTTCACGGCTCCGGGGGAACTGCATCTGGAATGATGCTGTAAATGCCTCAATTTGGTGGTGATGGTGTGAGAGTTAAGCCAGTAGCTGTTGGCCACACAGGGGAAGGGGAGTGAAGGTGATGAGGGGCCTTCTGCCTCTGGTCTGGATGTGTGGAACTGACAGACCCTGGGAAAGCCCATGTGGAGCCTGGCCCCTATCACCATTACCATGCCCCATGCCTCCATTCCAGTGTCTCTCTCTTCTTCCCACACTTCACCCATAACCAACAACTAGGGCTTGTGCCCCAGTCACCCAGCCTTAGTTACGCTACTGTGCTTTTATATACTTATGGCAAACATTTACCAACGAATAACTTTCTCCTTTGGTGTGTGGCTCCAAACTAAGATACCAACACATGATCCTTGCATTTGTCTCTTTCATGATATGCAGCTTCCTCAGGGACAGATGATTTATTATCAAGTTGAAATGGCTTCCAAGTCAATAATAGCAGAGGATTTCTCTTGTTTACGTTACTGCCAGGCATTTTTCCTTGATCATACCATAGCCACCTCAAGTCAGAATGGCTTTCTACTGACATTTAATACTGGGTGTTCTTTTTGTTTTTCTGGGATTGGGCCACTAGGTACCCTATGCTAAAGCCTCCATCTCTATGTGAATGAACAACTTTGTGAAGCCTGGAGCTCTGACCACTGGTTGTTTACATAGGGCTTTTTCAATCCTCTGGAAAATCTAATAGCATCTGGTGTCCATTGCATTCTGAGAGCCTGTTTTTCTTATGATTTCCAAGTGAGGCATAACGAGGTCTGAAAACATGTGTACAAACTTTTGCTTAGATCCTGCCAGATAAGCCCCTGTCATGTCTTATAATTTAGACATATTTTAAGTAGTGACCTGGTTGTATATTTAATTACATTAATAGTGTGACAAAATGAGGAATAAGCTACATTTTATATAATAATGTGTTGACTGGTTCCTATCGCACCTTTAACTGAATGTGGTGAGTGCTCCCAGCTTCTGAAGCACACTGGATCTTTTCAAAACTTCTGTGTGCTCCACTGGCTAGGAGTGCTGGTCAGCTGACCAGGGGCTCTCAGCTGGGGGAGTCCATGGAGCCCTTGGCTCTAATGCACTTCAGTGGTGGGGACCACCTGTCAGTTGATTGGGGCTCCTAGCCCCAGGAGTATACTATGTGAGCTACTCCAGCTGGGAGCCCCAATCAGCTGATGGGTGCTCCCAGCCAGGGGTGCACATCAGAACCAAAGGCTCTCCTGTACTCCCCTGGCTGGGAGCTCTGATCAGGTGACTGGGACTCCCAGCTGGGAGACCTCCCATGCATCCCCTAGCTGGGACCTCCCATCAGCTGTTTGGGGCTCCCCACTGCAGGAGCACATTGGAGCCAAGGGCTCCTGTGTACTCCTGCAGCTGGGAGCTCTAGCCAGCTGATCAGGTTTTCCAAGCAGGAGAGCACAAGGAGCCAAGCTTGCTACCTGCTGGTGAACATGATACCGGGCTTCCCTTGCACCAGCAGTATGCTGCAATGGGATCTGATGCTCAGCCTCACAGTTATGGTATTTTTTGCCTGGCTCATGACCAGTGGAATTGTTCTTGGACTTCTGAGTGCTTGGATTCAAACTCCCAGAAAACGAAGTTCCTTCTCTCTTAGGAACAACAAATGACAAAAGTGATATCTACCCCACCATAACATATAGTGGCAAGGCACAAAAATAGCTGTCAAATGTGTGAGCTATGCACTGGGTGGTAACCTCACTTGTGTTTGTTCTTTACCCTGGAAACCAATGTAAACTGCTCCAGTATACATGTTTACCCATGTGTAGGGTGACCATATATTTTTTTAAGGAAATCCAGAATGGGGGCAAGGCACATACCATCCCCCATCCCCCCCACTTTCCCCGCCCTGCTTCCTCTTCCAGCCCAGTACACAGCATGTGCAAGGGTAGTTGCCATGCTATCAGCCTGCCACCTGGCCCTCATCCACAATGCCAGTGAGCTCAGTGCCTGCTCTCCTTTGCCCTGTGGTGCTCGCAGCTCCCAGCTTCCCCTACCCTGCTCCCCAGCAAGGAAGCCTCTGGCTGCTGCAAGTGGCATCTGCCCCCTGCATCCAACATTTTGCTGTGACCACTGGCTCCTGTCCGAGTTTGCAAGGGAGGACCTAACCAATTGGCATCCTTCAGGCACCAAGCTGGGGAGCTGGAGGTGGGGGTGGACACGTGTGTGTGTGTGTGTGTGCACACATGCGCACGCACCCCCCCCCATACCTCTGCATCCCCTTCCCCATTCAGATGCGCACACACACCCGTGGGGGGTGGCAGCCAGGGTGCTGTTTGGTATATTTGCACATGAGGATGTTGAACTTGGCTGGCTCTGACCCTGCAGCTCCCAGGAGCCCTGATGGCGTGTTGGAGCAGGGTGGGGCAGGACAGTGTTGAGCGTCTATGTGCAGAAGCTGGACCCGGCTGGGAGTGGCCCCTGTGTGGTGCCCCCCAGGCTCTGCCATCCCAGAGTGTGTGAATATATGGCACCTCCCACCTGCTGCTGAAAGTTGCATGGGGCTGCCACCCACAGCTAGGTCCTCAGTAGTGACCGTAGTGGCAGAGCACAAGGCTGCCGGTAGTAGGTGGCCATTCTGGCTTCCCTCCGTGCCGGTGCTTAAGCCCCAGCCCACCCTGTCCCAACCAATCCCTGCCCCAGGCAGAAGGAGTGCTGCTCAGGCCTGCAATCCCTCACCATCAGCCTCCAGCTGCTGCTCTGGAAGAATCAGGCCAGGCATGTGTGGGCATGGGTGCGCCTCCACCTCCCCAGCCAATTCAGGACTTTTGCTTCATTTTTCACCAACTGGTCAGGACAGCCTATGAAAACTGGGACTGTCCCGGCCAAACTGGAATATATGATCACCTTGCCCATGTAGTAAGCTTGTATTTTTCAACAAGAAGTTGGGTAGAAAAGGCCCCAGTCATGAAAACTTTCCCTTGTCTCTTGAGAATTGTTCTCCCCACTAGACTGAACTGGAGCATTCTGTTGTCTCAGGATACTGGTATAAGGGTGTTCCATCTCACCCACTTTCTGCAGTAATAAGTGCAGCACATAACCTGAAACCCAATGAAAAAGGAGGGTGGGGGAATGGGAGTGCTAGGCCATCTTTTTACTTCTTTATGCTAGCATACTTCACAGCCACACATCTAAGTTAAACAAATTCTGTGACTGCTCTGTGAGCTACAGTACTCCTAGAAATTTTCCGTGTTGTGTACTGCAGATCTGTATGCAGTATGCATCTCTTTCCCCCAGTTTACATCTGCCATGCTCCTTTTACCTGTTTTATAAGGGGGTGTTATAAAAAAAAAAATAGCTGGTTTCCAAAGTTACTGAACAAATAGAAATCTTCTCTAGGAAGTTGTCCAACTCTTAGATCTCCTTTTAGTTCTTTTGGTTCTATTGTCACAATAATCTAAAAGAGCAAGGGTGGGAGGAAGCCTCCAATAAAATCTTTTAGAGGTGAGATTGAGGGGGGGAAAAAGCATACTACCATGTTACCCAAATCCAAAATGATCCTGAATTTAAGGTGACTTATAACATTTTTCATGTTTAATTTTCTACGTGCAGAATCTAAGTATTGCAGGGTCATCTTAAATTCATCCATCCAATCCACTGCTGCAGTACGGAAAAGCAGTGGCAAGAGGGCAGATGGTGGGGGGAGCAGAGGGACCAGGGGTGAAGGCGCTGCTCTTCCCTGCCACTGCTTACCCTTGCTCCATTGCTGGCAGACTCCATCCCCACTCTAGCCTGGAGCATGGGGCATGGCTCCAGCTCAGTCAAGTTGCAGTGGCAGCTGCTGCTACCAGGCTGGACTCAGGCTATGCCCCATGCTGGTTGCCAGATCAAGGCTAAACAGAGGGGTGGGGAACAGGTAGCGGGGCCTGAGGCTGTGGGTCTGGGCCAGAACTGGAGCTACAGCAGTTGCCTGCCCCCCACCTGCTGCTTCATGCTTGATTCTAGACAATGGGCTTTTTCCCCATGTTAAATAGGGGGAAAAATCTTGTCTTGGGAGCTGAGTGCATATGGTAGTAATTTTCAGTTTGTCTCCTTGAGATGCTGTTTGTCACGCTCAGTAGATTGTGCAGATAGTCACGGTATGATCATATCTACTCTCTGATTCCATGGGATTTTCTCCCTCCTAAGAAGGCTTTCACACATCCCAGAATTTGTTAGCCCCCTGGGGCTGCTTTGTCTTTGTCCAACTCATCTGTCTCTTTTTTTGATAGCATGAGTATAAACTACTTTGAAGCAAGGGAGGCAATACTCAGAGCCCAAGGAGACGATACTCAGAGCCCAAGGGGTGACAATCCCAACAAGAAGCAAGCGGGGCAAGAGTGCCCAAAAGCCCCCCTGGCCCATCAAGGGCATTCGTGAATGCCTGATTGCCAAAAAGGAGGCATACATCCAGTGGAAGAGAGGGGCTATCACCAAAGAGGAGTATACCTCCACCACTTGGGTCTGTAGGGGGGCTGTTAGAAAAGCTAAGGCAGATACGGAGCTAGGGCTAGCATCAAGGATCAAAGATAATAAAAAGTCCTTTTTTAAATATATCGGGAGAATGAAGCAGGCACCAGGTAATGTGGGGCCCCTGCAGGATATGCTTGGCAATCTGGTGGTTGCACCAGAGGAGAAAGCAGACCTCTTTAACAAATTCTTCACCTCCATTTTCCTGCGCAGGGACTGGGACTCACCGACCAGGATTCCAGACGGACTTGGGAGAAACGCTGCCAGGCCTAAGGTTGGGGAGGACTGGGTTACAGCGCTTCTGGAGGGGCTGGGCGTGTTCAAATCAGCAGGTCCAGATGCTCTCCACCCCAGGGTGTTGAGGGAATTGGCAGGGGTTATTGCAGGGCCCCTGGCACGGCTTTATGAGCACTCGTGGTGCTCTGGCCAGGTGCCAGATGACTGGAAGAAAGCCAACGGGGTCCCCATCTTCAAAAAAGGGAAGAGGGAGGACCCGGGCAA